TTCAAAAATTGGTTCTGCTAGTTTCTAGGCATAGCTCTTCTGTGCCTCAGTTTTATTCCCTATAAAATGGGAATGGTAATAGCTCTCAACTAAGTGATGTTTTTTGAGGATACACATATAATGCGATTAGAAGAACAGTAACTAGTACTTAATAAGTAGTCAGAAAAAAGTAGGTGTTATTACCCGGGAGCCCAGGAGAATGGATATATATTGGAACATCTTAATTAGAAAGAATAATTCATTGTGACTAGAAGTTTTGTGGCTTTTCCAAAGCAAGGAGGCAAACTTCAAATTTAAAGAGACCCCCATGGAAGAGAGCTATTGTCTGTTCTGTGCAAAGCATTTCTCTCAATATATTTATTTTTAACTTCTTCTCTTACTTGGAAAGATAAAAGTTGAGAATGGTGAGTAAATTAATGAATGAATAAAATACTGTAAAAATACTGTAAAATGTAATTATTATACCTAGTCTACTATGACTCCCATTGGATTTGGAACAACTTCATGTTGTCCTGAATTAATTCATTAGGTCACAACCAACATTTAAAATAGATGAAAAGTCTTTTCCTATGCCAAAGTCTTCAAGAGTTCTACCTAACTTATCTTCCAGCAAGTTTAGTGTTTCTTTTTTAATATTTAGATCTTCAATCCACTTTGATTTTAGTTTAGTGCATGGTGAAAGATAAGGGTCTAGTTTTAATCTTTGGCAGGATGAAATACAGTTTTTCCAACACTATTTATTATAGTCTATCTTGCCTCCAGTGAGGATGATTGGCTCCTTTGTCAAAGATGAGGTAGCTGAGTACATAAACAAATCCTCAGTAGCACGGAACTAGCAGAAAGGATCAACAACTGGGATCTCATCTTATTAAAAAGCTTCTGCACTGCAAAAGAAGTAATCAACAGAACTAAAAGACAACCTACAATGTGGGAAAAACATTTTACCAGTTGCTCCTCAGACAAAGGTCTCTTATCTAGAATATATAAAGAACTCAAAATAATCAGCCCCCCAAATATAAAGACCCAATTCAAAGATGGGCATCTGAAATAAACAGACATTTCTCAGACAAAGAAGTAAAAGCAGCAAGTAAATATATGAAAAAATGTTCCACATCACTGGTCATTCAAGAGATGCAAATGAAAACAACACTGAGATTCCACCTCACCCCATAACGAATGGCTGTTATCAAGAAATCAACCAATAACAAATGTTGGCGGGGTTGTGGGGAGAAAGGAACCCTTTTCCAGCAGACTGGTGCAACCACTATGGAAATCAATATGGAGATACCTCAAATAGCTGGGACTAGAGGTGCCATTTCACCCAGCCATCCCTTTGCTGGGTAACTTTCCAAAAGAATTAAAAGAATCATATCACAGAGATATATGTGCACCCATGTTTATAGCGGCACAGTTTGTAATAGCTAAAACTTGGAAACAACCCATTTGCCCATCATTTGGAAGCTGGATAAAGAAGATGTGGTTTTTCTATAAAATGGAATACTACTCAGCCATAAAGAATGAGAAATTAGAGTCATTCATAGGAAAATGGATACATTTTGAGGATATACTCCTAAGTGAAATAAATAAGTCACACATGTGTAAATACTGAATAGTTTCTCTGGTGTGAAAAACTATAATAGTACATAAGATCCTAATGAGATAACTTACAATGTGAAATAGGAAGAAAAGGGCTAAAGGTGTAGGGAAAGTGGGTAGGGGAAAGGGAATAAGGGAAAAGAAAAAAGTATGAGAAAATGAAAAAATGGAAGTAAGGTGTTTGTAAATGCGGAGGGGAGGAGGGGGTGAAGGGAGGGCAGGGACAAGGGGAAAAAATGAGAACAAAGACCTGTCTTGTAAAGGTACAAGATCCCAATAATGAATGTAACTGTAGTGTATACCTAAAATGTACCAAAAAACTCAATTAAAAAAATAAAATAGATGAAAAAATTGGATAGTGTAGGTTTGCATAGAAAACATCAGAGTGCATTACAGATACGGTGGTACCTCAATTCACAAATCCAATTCTCTCCCCAGTTGTGGTCACAAACTAAATTGGACAAGAACTGAATTAATTTTCCCCATAAGGTCAATATTGACCTAATCAATGAATTTTATTCATTTCTTGTCCAACTCAGTTTGAAATCAGAACCCTGGAAAGAATCAAGTTCATGAACCAAGGTACCACTGTAGTTAAGTATGGTTTCATTAAAAATTTCATTTCAGTAAAAGAGAGAGATAAACAGAAACAGAGACAGAGAATAAAAATTACATTTTTAACCTTGGGTTATAGGTTTTTTCTAAGTTTGAATGTACTGAGCAAGATTACTTACTCACTCAACAAACATTCACTATACCTAATTTGTGCTAAGCATTCTAAGTTAGGTTCATAAGAAATAATTAATAGAGCTCCAACTTCAAGAAGTTCAACCTGAAATGAGAAACATAAGATAGTAAATGAAACCAAACCAAACTTCACTGGGCCTATGCTTCCCTTCCTGGGAGAGAAGTGATGTTTAGGAGGGCAGAAGAAATGTTTTAGAATGACTGAGGAATCGTGGGAACTACATGTCTGGGTAAAAAAAGTGCCTATTCTGTCATGATCTGTGATAGTTTGGTAAATTTTCTTTATTGTTATTATTTTTAAATTTCCTTTATTTTTAGATTTACCTTGTTTTAAAAATTATGTTCACCCAGCTGAGGGACGTATAAAGTGAGATATAAATTACAACTTCACTGATTTAATATAAATTTTTTGTTTTCTTATAGTCTCTTTTTCTGGGAACAATGGGACTTCCTGTAGGGTGGCATGGGAGAACATTGGATCCCTGTCTGTTCCTTCTCTTGTAAATCTCACCATTATGGGTTAAATGTGGAAGCTATTGAATTGTGGAACTGGATATAGTTAAAGTCCCACTGTAATTAGTGCAGGAGCTCTACAGATTGTTAATGAGGCTGTTTGAATTAGCACCTGCTCCTACAAGGGTCATTTGTGAGCTGTTGGCAGTCAGGTCTCTTGAGTCAGTGGGACAGAGATGGGAGGAGGCTGCCTTGTAGGTGTTCCTTGAGTATCCCTAAATCCAATATTTTCAGTTTCTGTTTGTTTTGCTGCATTCACTACACATAAAAGGCTGGACTACATGGTGGAGGAGAAATAAAGGTGAGAGACAGAGCCCTTGACCAGCAAGAACTTGAAAAGAAGGGAAAGACGTTTACAGAAGAAATAAAAGTCCCTAGCATTTGTAAAGCAAAGTAATTCAGAATGAGAACTCTAACCCGGGCATAAACCATCATCCTGCCTTCCTGTAATTGTGTGATTTGGGGAAAAGACATCTAACTTCTTAGAGCCTCAATTTCTTTATCTGGAGAATCAGGATTGGTAAGGTATATTTGAGAAGTGAACAATAGCCATCATTGAAGTGGGCAGTATATATAAATTGCTCAAAAATTGAACTGACTGTAAAGTCAAAGTGCCTGCAAAGAAATACCAATGAAATGCTTTGATGCTTCAAGGAAGGAAAATGGCATATCAAGCAAAACTTTTTGAAGTTGGTATCTGAGATGAACCTTACGAGATTTGTCTGATTTTAAAAGGAGGCAGTACAGTAGAGGGAAAACATTTTCAGCAAGGAATGGTGTAAGTAAAGACACAGAGTTGAGGAAAACTTGGACACTCTAACTAGTACGTGTATTCTTTGCTGGGAATTGTAGTTAACACAGATGAAATCAGTCTCCAACCTCAAAAAGCTCATATTCTAGGTGGACACATAACTGAAACTGACAAAGCAAAGTGACACCAGTTATGCTAGAGGACTGCACAGGAGCTGTGGAAGTCCAGAGGTGGCCCATTTGGACCAGCAGGGGCTAAGGCTGCCCAGGGGTGATGTCACAAGATGAAGAGAGTGGGGTGAGAGCTAGAAGATGGAGAAGAAATGCTGACCACCTGACCCTGTTCAATAGAAATGGCAGTCCTGATGTCATGGGCAGTGTCCAGGATAGGGCCAAGAGGTTGAAAACGTGATAAGAAGGAAACCTTGGTTTGAGTGAAAGAATGAGTACAGGGATCAGAGCGGAAAATGGAAGAATTTTAGAGTCAATGTCACGGTGGAGTGTGGAGTAGATCGTGAACCTGAGTAGCTGAAATGGAGAGAAAGTGAATCATTGGAGATGATGATTTCAAGGATTGTTTAAATTATGTTATTAAAAAGGTTGTCTATTATTGTTGATGGCCCAGAAGACAGAAATAAAAGGGAGGCTATTGGAAGGGAAGCCTACAAGACAGATGTAAAAAATCACTCAGAAAGATGGAAGTGTGTCCTGGAGGGAAGTAGATAGTTTTGGTGTTCAAATGTGCTAGCTACTTACTACTGAGCACCTGCTTTACACTAGACATTTTAGACTCACTACAGCATATCTAGTTGTACTGGTTGTGATAACTGAATTGCTGTGATAGCTAAATGTACAATAACTATAACCTAAGTAAGGTAAAAGTTTATTCTTTTGTCATGTAAGTCATGCAAACTTTTATTCTTCTATCATGGCTTCTATGTTGACACGGTACTCATCAAGGATTCAGAGTCTTTCTGCTCTGTTTTTATGTTTCTATCTTAGCTCCCACCATAAAGCTTCCACCATGACATCTGCATGTCAGAAGGAGGGGACAGCAGATAGCATGACTCAGAGTCACAAAAACTGACTAAGGTACAAGGAGAAAGGAATTAGATTCTTTTTTTGGTGAGGGAGTAGCTAGGTCAGGTCACATGGCAGAAGAGAAGTGATCTGAGAAATACTGCTTTAGCCATATTTAGAAAATACAATCTGTCATACATGATAGTAAATGACCTTTAACAGGAAGCTTAATGAATATGAGTAATTCACAGACCAAATGGTGATGGATAAAATAGATTCCATTTATTTCAATTTAATCTACCTAGCAACCCTTAAGGTAAATTTAATTCATAACCCCCATTTTACAGGTAAAGGAAGTAGGTAACTTGCCCAATATTGCTGAGGCAGATAGTTGTAGAACTTCAGTGAAAGCTGCTCCAGTTTGATTCTCAAGCTTGTGCTCTTGCCTAGCATGACACACACAGACTTTTATGAAGCCTGAAACCCAGAGTGCAACAGAAAAAAAAAAAAAAAAAAAAAAAAAAGATTTGTCTTGCCTATAACAAGAACTCAATAATTATTTGTTGAATTAAACTGAATTAAATCGAACTCCTGAAGGAGAATCTTAGGAACAAAATCTGAAAGATATTTATTAAAGTTAACTTTGAAAGAAATACATTAACCAGCTAACAAAACGAATTCTCCCTGAACACTCTTTATTCACTAATACTCACCTAACAAAAAATTACTTTTTAAAGGTATTTATACTCTGCTTTGTTTTAAAATGATGCAAGGGACAAGTAATGTATTAGAAATGACAGTAAAATGAAATCATATTCAGAGATTTTAGCTATTCTGTCAGCAAGTTGGAAATGTCCAGTAAATGGTAGTCACTGCCAAATGGGTTCTATTCCTGGATCTGCTTCTTATAAGCTATGTGAATACGGACAGATGCCTGAGATTCTCTGTACCTGGCTCTACTTATCAGTAAAATAAGATGATATCCACAACCTCTAACGTCCTTTTCATCACTAAAACCTACACTGAGGACTGAGCATACCTTTTCTTATCATTTCAGCATATCATAACTGGCCAAGTTATTTTCTACTACTGAGCAATTATCTACTCTATTAAGTACAAACTGCAACTGTTAAGGAGCAACCAAGAATAGTTAAAACTGTTAGAACAAAGGCTCTAAATCAAATGTTTCTGAACATATGCTCACAAGCTTACTTGAAAAATAGCACTTATTCATTGTTCTCAATTAAAATTTTGTGAGATGAGAGTGCACATATTCTGATATAACCATAACAATCAACAAAATCACAGTGAAGCCTTTACTCTGACAATGGAATACACCATTTACTTCACACTTTTGTAGAATAGGTATTTTTAAATAGAGACCTTTACCAAGCTTTGATGTTCAGTCTTTCTAACACCTGCTTTTCCAAAACTCAATTCTGGAATGATCTGTGCCCCCTCAAGGATTTTCCTAAAGCCTTCCCTCCCCCTTCTCCCGAATTCCCAGGCTGCTTTGGTACTCTTATTCTGAGCCCTAGAAGTCTCTCATGATTCTTTCTTGGTGCTTGCTGCACAGTATTGTCACTGACTGTCATGGCCTTGTCTACTGTTCTTTCCTACTGTGATTTTTTTCAGGAAGAGAACACAGATCTATCAGTGGGTAGCATGAAGCCTAGACCTCCTAGGTGCTCAGTGAAAATTTGATGAATGAGTGGGGCTCCTTTTGTTTCAAGTCAAGAGATGTTGACAATGAAAACAATAAATGCATGTTCCATCTTGTATCAAATTCGTAAAGCTAAGTAATTTTACATAGAGCCATTCTTCCACTGGTGTTCATAGTTGTACCCTGCTTTGAATGTGCCCTGATGCAGAAGTGAAAGGGGAAAGGGAAGCAGTTTCTATCAAGTGGTCCCTTGGCATACTTTTCCTACTAATGTTAAAAATCATCACCTTCATAACAATCTATGAGGTACTACTATCACCTGTATTATACAGAAACCAAGGCTAGGAGAGATAGAGGAGCTTGCCAAAGATTACACAGCTTGTAAATAACAGAGTGGGATTCATCTGACTCCATCTGAATCCATACAGCCTCCCCAGGGAGGAACAGGGCAGTGGCTGAGAGTGGGGGTTTGCATGCTCTGAGGCAACTCTTACAGTAATTTTGAATGGATCTATTTCCCAAGTCTATGCTTACTAACTGAATTTTAGCCCTTTACATACAGGTCTAGCAACAAGTACCCCTGACAGTGACACCTCTTTCCTCATCATCTGTTATTTGAACCTGGAAGGTTGTATGCATGCTATTATTGTTCTCATTAAGAGAGAAGTAGGGCGGGACAGGGGAGGAGTTTGACAAATCAAAATCTTTGGTCTAACCAACCAGATAAACAAAGACACACAGGTACCCTTATAATTAAGGTGCACAATGGGCTTGCAATGCCATTGTGCACCTCTTTGTGTAAAGAGTCCGGATTTTTAAAGAAAAATAACATTGTGCTTAATACAGGAATTGCCTTTCAGAGGAAGAAAGTAAGTTTCCATGCTTTTACTAATTGCTTTGTTATAGAAAGTTTGCTATTGTGGAGACACATATAACTCCTAATTGTAAATTATAAAATTATCATAGATTCTATTTATAGCTTGTATTGGGAAAGAATATGAGTAATCTTTGCAGATTTCCACATAACCCTAACCTGCTAATAAAATTAATATTTTAACTATGCATATATGGTCATATACCTATGTATATGTTTTAGTCTAGGAAATATTTTAAATTGAGAAAAATGTTTCTTGTTAAAAGTTTATTAATCTTATGACAATTTACTCTTTTTATGACATTTTTCATAAGTGATATTACCTTAACATACTTGATTCTTAGACCTTATTTAGATTAATTCTGAAATAACAATAATACAGACAGAAATTATAAAATTGGAGATGTATTTTTATCTATGTGGTATTTTGAGCTATTTTTGAAATACCTTATAAATTCAGAGAATGAATTGAATACAATAAATAAAATATACAATAAAGTCCTATATATAACAGATTCGTTAAAGGACTCACAGCTGAACTGATTTTGGAAAAGTTTGGAACAGAAAGGATTAGTAATCTTCATATGTGGTGTGTCTGGATTTAACTTCTGTTTTATTAATGGGAGCACATGTAAATGCTACATGAGTTTCTTTGAAACAGGACAGCTTTCCAGTACGACTTCTGACAGGGCATGCATTTACATAACATTTTAGTGTTAAATTACGTTTATATATCGATACAAAGAACATGCACTAAAATCTTTATATTAGTGCGAAACAACTTGAAATTTTAAAGTATATAATCATTTTCTAAAATCTAAACACCAGGCACTGTCTTTACTGTTTTTGTATGTTAACTCCTTAAATCTTCAGACCCTCTATAAAATCAGTTCTAATATTATGCCCATTTTATAGATTAGAAAACTAAAACACAAAGAAGTATCTTACCCAAGACAAGGAACTACTAGTGTTGAAGTTAAAATTCAAACCAAGATAGTATTTACTCAAACTGCTACCCATCACACCAGATAGACAAATTAGACTCCCTGCAGAGGTGACCCGAATAATAATAGGGTAGTTATAAAAAGCAGAACTTGCTTGCTGGAAAGGTTGTGTCTGTTATCATTAAAACCAACATGTATCAAGTGTGGTGGACTAAGTGCTTTCACTGCACCCTTGCATTTAATCTCTGCCCTCCCTTTCCATTTAGTCCTCACAAGCACACTAGGATATATTGATCTAGCTGAGTAAATGTAGGCAAATTATCTGACTTCCCCTTTGAAGCCTCTGTTTCCGCATCCTCTTTTGGGATGAAATGTAGAGAGTGCTTAGTAACTAACACAAAGCAAACTCTTAATAACTGTTAGTTGTTTTTAGGCTTTAGGAACACCAAGTAACTTATTCAAGACGGTATGCCTTAAAGAGGACAAAGGTAAGATTGTATCTGGGTCTGATTAATATCCTTAAAACAGTGCTTAAGACTGTTCTTTACTAATTTTTCCTGCTGGCCTTGCCATAATGCTCATTCCAGAACAATTCCAGAATTCCATATTAATAATAATCAGATAGTGATACATTAAAGAAAAACAAATTTAATTCCAAAATAATAATCACTTTTAAAATACAGATAAACCAGAGGAAGAAATAAAAATCACCTGTAATCCCACCCTCCAAAATAGTCACCCTTTCAAAAACAGAATCATTCTGAACAATTTTGTGACTTGTTTTTTATATTTTGAAATATATTGTGAACATAATTTTATGTTGATATTTATTGAATGCCTCATTCTTAATGTCTTCAGAATATTCCATTGTAAGGAAGATAAATCCTTTTTATTGACCAATACATATTTTTTCAATTTTCCCATATTTCAAAGACTACCACTAGAGTAAACAGTGATAGAGCCAAATCTTTGAACTCATTCGTGGTTGTTTCTTTCAGATAAATTTATAAAAGTAGAACTGCTAGGTCAAAGGATATGAGCTAAGAGAATTTTGAGTTGGTATCTACTCAGGAACAAAACTCTTTTTTACCCTATGGCCAAAAAATACTTTAGGAAACCAGCTTTTACAGTTGACAGAGATTTTCAGTTTTAAAGCTGCATAGAGAATGAATTTATCTAAAACTTGGACTGAATGAGATTGACAATAGAAAGTGCATAGTGCTTGGCACAGAGTGTCAACTAATACCTGTTATTACAATGCAACCAGCATCAAATTTGTCCTATGCCTCCTCAAGTCCTTTACAACATAGGCCTCCTCTTCAGGTTCTTTAGGTTTCCGGAATTTTGGATCCTGTTCGATTTCTAAAAACAGGACAAACTTGAGAATGCTCAGAATTGTAAAGTAAAACAATTACTTTTACACTTTTTTAGGGGGGAATCTCTTGTGACTTGAGGAGGGTCTTCTCTGGACCTCGGAACTTTTTCCTGTAAAGAGGCATTGAAAAACTCAATATTACTATTTTAACACTGGATACTAAGCTTAATCCAGCAATCCTCATTCATAACTGTGGGCATTCTCACAACCCAGCTGCGAGTGTTTGAACCTCGGGACTCAGCGTTTTTTAAGGGTGAAAGAAGCTGTTTTTCTTTGTTTAATGTTCATCCCATTACCTACCATCGGACTAATACAATACTGTATCATTTAAATATCTGGTGTAATTTAGGAGGTAACAGAGTAACTGAAAGGCTGTCTCCCAAGTCATTCGGGACAATAAACATTTTAACCTGAGGTCACAGTACATAAGTCTTTGTCAATTTGTTTGGGGCTTGCTTATTCAGCCACGGTCTCCATTTTTTATTTTATTTTAGACGGATGTATTTTATATATCAAACAGCCAAACATAGCTTGAAGGTGTCTATGTTCCTTGCCAGAGACAGGCAACCCCTCTAATGTCCCTTCCACCAAAGGGTAATTTTTTTTCTAAGGGTCCCAATTTGTTCAAAATTGCCCAGGGCCTAGCACAGTTCTTCCCGGTAACAGAGATGGTGATGGTGTTGTTGAACTACGAAGGAGCCATCTCGCTTAAAATTTAAGCACAGCACAAGGCTCACTGTAGGAGAGAGGACTTATTCGTTCAACTTTTCAAGTGTATCCTCCTCACCGAGGCGCCAGGGCCACGACAGGAGCCTGACTCGCAGGAGTCGGTCCTGATCTCGGGAACGGCGCCCCCTGGGGACGGCGGCGGGAGAGGAGGAGCAGCGGTGCGGAGCGGGCGAGCGAGCTGGGGACTAGCGCGGGGAGACTCGGCGGACGTCCTCC